ACTGACATTTATAGACCATTTTGACCAAAAACATCAGAATACCCATTATTTTGAAATGCACACAGAACATTTACTAAGTTAGGCCATATTCTGAGCCATAAAATAAGTCCTAATAAATTTTAAAGGGTTCACGCCATACAGAGATTTCTACACAAATGGTCATAGCAGCTTTATTTATGATAGCCCAAAACTGGAAACAGCTCACATGCCCCTCAGCAGATGAATTGATTAATAAATCGTGGCATACACGTCAATGAAATACAATTCAGCAATAAGAAGGAATGCACTATTGATACAAAATTATAACTATCAAAGTAAGTATGCTGAGTGAAGGAAGTCAGACCAAAAAAGACCAGATACTACATGATTCAACTTATACAAAACTCTAAAAAATGCAAACTATTGTATAGAAACAGAAAGCAGATTAGCAGTCATCTGGGGAGGGAGGATGTGTGGAGGGAAGGGAAAGGAGGATTATCGAGGAACACAAGGGAGCTTTTGGGGACTAATGGATAATGGATATGTTCACTATTTTTATTGTGATGATGTTTTCATGGTTGAATACATATGTCAAAATTTATCAAATTCTACACTTTAAATAAGTGCAGTTTGTTGTATGTTAATTACACCACAGGAAAATTATTTTAAAAATCTAAAAGGTCAAAATAAATGTATTTTAAACTAACATCGATATCTTTTTTAAAAAAAACTAAAGATATCTTAATAATTTGACAGCCAGTTCAGAACTGTCAGGAACTCAGAGTAATCATAGATAATACTGAAACAGATCAGTCAGGCGACCAAGATTACCTGGCTATTTAGATAGCGTTAGGCATACAGTAGGGCACTCCATCCATATCAGAGTTTTCTGTTGGTCGTCCTGTATCACATGGGTCAGGATATGATTTCTCATGCAACTGAAAATAAAATCTAATTGAATTTGAGGATACATATCTAGTTAGAGATTAAGATTGCATAAGACAGGGCTGGCCAGGTGGTGCAGCGGTTAAGTTCACGCGTTCCACTTCTTGGCGGCCCGGGTTTGCCGGTTCGGATCCCGGGTGTGGACATGGCACCGCTTGGCAAAAGCCATGTTGTGGAAGGTGTCCCATGTATAAAGTAGAGGAAGATGGGCATGGATGTTAGCTCAGGGCCAGGCTTCCTTAGCAAAAAGAGGTGGACTGCCAGTAGTTAGCTCAGGGCGAATCTTCCTCAAAACCAACAAACAAAAAGATTGCGTAAGACATCTACTTACTACTTACAGATTAAATGAAAAGTAATTTAAAACTTCACTAATGTGTATCCATAGCTGCTGTATATGTGATTTTTCTTGTCTCCCTGTTCTGATTTCCGAAATATGCAAAAGTTATCACCCTTGACAAAAAAGTCCCCAAGAGATGTCCAGTGTAAACAATTTTCATGATTCTTGTTCTGCCCAGAACATAGAATAAAAAAATTTCACCCAAGGGGATCTTTCCAGTGCTGAATATATATCAGTCTGAAAGAAAGATTTTCCACAGAGACTGTCTCCACCCAACAATGGATGTTATCTCATACCTCAGAGAGAAGAGGGAAAAATAATCTGGTCTTAGAGAAAATTTGTGTTTAGTAAGTTATATCATGCTTTCTGTGACTCTCCAAATAATTTTAAAAATATTTCTATGTATCTGTTTCCTGCATGCCCACTTGCTTGAAGTAGAGTATGGTTTGTTTAGCTTCTGATCTTTAAAAAGGATAATTCATGGGTTTTCTCCTCCTATCCTATTCCTACTGGGATTTCTATGTTCTCTTTATCAGTGGTGTACATGCCACCATAATGCAGTACCTCAGAGGTGCTCTCAGGTTTGCTTTGGGAGATCACAGTTCTTTGACAGCTACTTGGTATTAGTAACTTCCACCTATCTGGCTCAAATTGTCCTTGTCATTTAAGAAGATAAAGATTTTCATATCAGATAGAGTATTACAGGCTAAGATAAATTTTAACATAAAATTAGAAGTAAAAAGTGTTATAGATCCAATGAGAAGTGATATAGAACTCAATTACTACAGAAATAGGATTAAAATCATAACCAGAGAAAACAGGAAGGCAACTCGAGCTAGTGGAAGGAACTAGGACTACCTCCCTGAGCGCCTCGCCCAGTGTGTATCTCAGGCAATTGGTGAAATTCTCTGAGCCCAAGTTTCTCCTTGTAGAAATAAAAGTCACAGATTTAGGGTTATTATTATTAAAAAATCTTAATGGAAGGGCATTTCATCTAAAAGGGGATGAAAAACGTGTTGCTATATTTTAATACTTCTAAAAGAGTAGCACAATGTGTCTCCTTTCCCTAGTTTTTCACATTCGCTAATCTCAAAGTTATCATTACCCACTTTTGTGAAAATTCTCTTTGAATTCCAAAGGTAAGAATCCCAAAGGTGCTTTAATAGAATGCCCTATTGCCTCTTGTAGCTCTTCTTAAAATATTAATACGCCTCTTGGACAAAAGTAGAAGTGAAAGATGAAAAAATTGTTAAGCTACTGGAAAGCTAGCAGCATGTCTGGTACTTTTTTTGCATCTGTACATCCTATAGGATTGCTAAACTTATGCTCGTTAATTTAGAGAAAATGTAAGGTTAGTAATTTAAAGAAAAACAATTCTATATATTTTGCTTACAGATGCTAAATTCACTAAGATTATGGCTAGTAAGCTTTGGAAATTGTACTGCTTTAAGTTGCATTTTAGTGAATAAAGAAGGGAAACTACTAATATTTATGAAACATGCGCTGAATACCAGAAAAATTTGTGTACTTTCTGCATATTTTCTTTTTTTTCTTCTTTCTTTTTTGGTGAGGAAGATTGCCCTGACCTAACATCTGTGCCAACCGTCCTCTATTTTGTATGTGGGATGCCGCAACAGCACGGCTTGATGAGCCGTGTGAAGGTTTGTGCTGGGATCCAAACCGGTGAACCTCGGGCCGCCAAAGCAGGGTGCGCAAACTTAACCGCTAAGCTACCAGGCCAGCCCCTCTGTATATTTTCTGATCTATCTTCACAAAAAGTCTATTAGACCAAATGCTGTCTTTTTACAGAGGAGGAAATGAAAACAGAATAGATTTAAAGGTCAAAAGGTCAACAAGTAATAGAGTTAGATTTCAGACCAGATCTGACTAGTTAAAAAGTTCATGGTTATTCTACTAATTGTCCTAAATATGGGATTAATATTAAGTAATATAATTAATCCACCAATATTATAAAATATTAACAATTTCAAAACTGATGAAAAACATTATGATTTTTTATTGGTAAATTGTTTCCTAGAAATATACATATTCATCTTTTAGCAGATTCCTGTCTCAAACACAGTTGAAATCCTGCTTTTGCTATTAGCTATTGTCTATGTCATTTATCCCAACAGATACAGAACTAGTTATTGAAAACTAGTCCTGGAAAGGTTTGTTTTGACAAAAATTAACTTTCAAGGTAAGGTCAAATTGTTCAAGTTTCTCAGGGGACATAAGTCTATTGGGTATAATATCAGGATATTCTCTTCAGAAATTAAACAAATCTGTATTATGGAGGGTATGTTTATTTGTAAGTTGTGAGACTATTGTCACATGTCTCTTTTTCCACAGCAAATGTGTGCTTTACCTAATTTCTTTAGGAAGACCTTTCTTTCCATCTTTAATCTATGCTGCTGAGTTCTCAGCATAAGGGAAGGAGAAACTAGTGCTCATGATGAGGTGATTGTTTTCGTTGTTCACCTGCTTTCCTTGGCACCACCCTTGGGATTTCAAAGAGGAAAAGAGGATGAGACACAGAAAAAATAAAACAAAGCTAAGAGAAAGAAATAAAAAAGAGGGAAGTAAAACAGGCAACTATCTTTCTGCCGTCTGGCTTTAGAGAAATTCTCAGTTTACTTGAGGATGAATATAAACAATATCATTAGTATATTTAGAGGTAAATAATTGGCAATCTCTACAGTTTTAACTTCATGTTCACTCAGCACTAATAGTCAAAGGTGTGCTTCGCTTATACATGTCTGTAAAAATATATATTTATACTTTTATGGCAATATTTCAAAAGCTAGGGATTTCCTAGCATCAACTGATATAATTGAAGGTAAACATCTTGTATTGATAAGCTTGACTCATAAGGAGTTTCTGTTCAGAGTTCAAGTCAGAATCTGAGTTCAAGTTATCTTCCACTTTGGTTAATCCTTTTGTCACATAACTCTCCACTGACATTTTTTCCTAATACATTTAGTTTACTTAATAAATTCCATTTAATTGCGATCTTAATCAGTGGCAAATTATGTGGTTGATTTTATATCAAATTATCATGCCCAGGTATTTATTATATGGCTTTCTATATAGCTTCTTTCCTAAAGGTTGTCTCAACATATATTTTGGAGTAATAAGCTGAAAATTTAGTTTTATGATGTCTTACAAAAGATGTTCAGATGAGGCTTCAAGGAATCATTATGTATAATACAGAGAAACTATAATTTTATGCTTTATCATTTGCTCTGGATTTCAATATCTATTCTCCATTATTTTCCTAAGTAGATGACTTAAATTTTAGTGATTTAGTGTAACGGTTGTTGGTGGTGTCTCACCCAGATTCTTTTTATTGAAGTGGTAGACCAATCCTAGTTTCCAGGTGACACTATAATCTTTTCTCAGGCTTTCCTTTTGCTGTCCTGCTTTCCTCACTCCCTTCTTGAGAAAATACTGTCTCAACTAAGTATTTGCATAAGAATCCCATCCCAGACTCTGCTTCTTGGGAAATTAATCTTAGGCATTTAGCTTCTCTTTGGGGCATAATACCATGAATATTTTTACCAAGATTTGTCTTCCCAGTTATACTTTTCTCTTTCGGATATAGATGCTAATTTTCAATGAAATGCAAATTTCAATGAAATAGAATTTCAACCAAATTCTAAAAATTAAATACCCTTTCCCATCCCACTAACTGGTAATCTATCCTTCTCTCTAGATTATTTTTGAGGACATACTGAATAAAATGGATAAAGGAAATCTGTCTGTGGTGTCGGAATTTATGCTTCTGGGACTTTGCCACTCGTGGAATATGCAGGTCTTATTCTTAATGATATTTTTTATGCTTTACCTGATCATCATATCTGGAAATATTTTCATCACGATCTTAATCATCACTGACCCTCAACTCCATTCCCCCATGTACTTCTTGTTGGCTAACCTGTCCTTTATCGATATGTGGCTTTCTTCAGTCACTACGCCTAAGATGCTCACAGACTTTCTCAGGGAAAACAAGACTATTTCCTTTGGAGGCTGCATGTGTCAGATCTTCTTTGTGCATATTTTTGGAGGGAGTGAGATGGGGCTATTGGTGGTAATGGCCTACGACCGCTATGTGGCCATCTGCAAGCCACTCCACTATTCAACCATTATGAGCCTGGAAAAATGCATTGGGCTGGTGGCGACTTCCTGGACCATTGGCTTTGTGCATGCCATGAGTCAAATGATTGTGATTATGCAGTTGCCTTTCTGTGGCCCCAGGGAACTTGACAGCTTCTTCTGTGATATACCACTGGTAATCAAGCTTGCCTGCATGGATTCCTATAACTTGGGAATATTAATGAATGCTGATAGTGGGGTTCTGGCTATGACCTGCTTTGTGTTGTTGCTGATATCGTACACATACATTCTTCTCATTGTCCACCAAAGCTCTAAAACAGGTGCGTCTAAGGCCCTCTCCACCTGTGCTGCCCACATAACAGTGGTGGTGCTCTTCTTTGGGCCCTGCATCTTCATCTATGTGTGGCCACTCAGTATCACATGGGTAGACAAGTTTCTTGCTGTATTTTACTCTGTTATTACACCTCTCCTAAATCCAGCCATTTATACTTTGAGAAATAAAGACATAAAAAGTGCTATGAAGAGATTCAGAAGCTACTACATGCACTCCAAGGGAAATAGTTAATGCCCAGAAACCTCACTGTAAGCACTTCAAATTGAGAATACATTGACCTTGTAAAATAGGTTGAAAATTCTACATATTCAGTTTATATCTAGATGTTATGCCTGTCTCCAAGTGCAGGAATAGGGTTAATATAATTCAAGGAATTTCAACATTTATTAATCAACCAGTAGAACATTATGAAATATTTCTCTAAACTTAATGTCCCTCTTTTATGAGAGAATTATCTAATCAGTCTCCCTATGCCTTTAACTATGTTAAATGAGAACCTGAAGTTCATTCAACAGAGTTACACATCCATCCTGATGGATAGCATCTTAATAAACTTTTCTTGAATTTCCTTTTATGTCCATTTAGAAAGTATTTCTATAACATTGCCTCTTTCCCTCAAACCTTTCACTTAACCTCTTTTCAAGAGGCAACTGAATTATTATTTTTTCTTTAACTTAGCTTCCTACCCAAATACTTAAGGGAAGTAGCAGGGGAACAAGAGAGAGAAGGAAATAACAGTGGTAAGGTACACAGGGAGCAAGTGTGAAGGTTACTCTGTGTTTGGTTTCCATTAACTTAGTAAAAGTAAAAATAAAAGGTAAAGCCTAATGATATTTCTCTTGGTTATCTCTATCTCAAGGACTAATATTTATGCTTTAAGTTATTATTAACAGTTTGTGTAAGTCCTGACATGTCAAGGGCTATGCCTTACTTCGTTAATTCTTGAAACTGCGGTACCTAGTACAGTGGTTAATATACAACAAACACTCAACAAATATATTTTAATGAATACATAGAGGCCAATTTTTCCATTCAAATACTCATAACATCATATATGAAGGATAGTTTAGCTAGATAGAGTATTCTTGCCTGGTAGTTTTTGTCTTTCAGTATTTTGAATATGTTATTCCATTCTCTCCTATCCTATAATGATTCTGCTGAGAAATACACTGAGAGCCTGATAGGGGTTCCTTTGTAGGTTATTTTCTTCTGCCTTGCTGTCCTTAATATTTTTTCTTTGCCACTTTTTGTCAATTTTAATATTATATGCTTTGGAGAAAGTCTTTTTGCACTCATGCAATTAGGAGTTCTGTTGGTTTCATATACTTGTAAGTCCAGTTGCTTCCCCAGTTTTGGGGACTTCTCAGCTATTATTTCTTTGAACAAGCTCTGTGCTCCTTTTGGAATACCTATAATCCTCATATTATTTTTCCTAATTGAGTTGGATATTTCTTGAAAAATTTCTTTATTTTTTAAAGTCTTAGTTCTCTCTCCTCCTCTACCTGAAGCATTTATATATTTCTCTTCTCTAAGTCACTAATTCCCTCTTACATAGCATCAGTTGTATTGTTTATGCTTTCTAGATTATTTTTTATCTCATTAATTGTGTTCTTCATATCCAGAATTTCTGGGTTTTTTAAAGAGCTTCAATATCTTTGGTGAGGTATTCAGTCTGTTCATTCATTTTATTCCTGAGCTCACTGAATTGTCTTTCTGAGTTTTCTTGTAACTCACTGAGTTTCTTCATGATAATTATTTTGAATTCTCTGTCACTTAGATGGTAAGTTCCTGTGACTTCAGGATTTGTTTCTGGAGACTTGTCATTTTCCTTCTGCTCTGAAGTGTTACTGTAGTTCCTCATGGTTGATGAATTGATCCTTTGCTGGCACACTTGTGGTAGTATTAGGTCACAGATTCCATCTGCCACTGTTGGGGGTGGGGGAGTAGGAACTGTGCTTTTTGAACCCAACCCGCCTGCTGGATGCTGTGCAGGTAAGGTTGCTCTGTGTTTGCGCAGGTTGGCTGCAGTTGCTCTGCAGGTTGTGCTCACATGGGCAGGGTCTCTGCACTGGGCAGTGGGTTGTGCACTGTAAGAGGGACCTCTGTTCTCTGCAGGTGGGTCACTCTCCCATAGGTAGGGCCCATTGCGCTCTTCAGGGGACCGGCTGAGCTGCTGTGCTAGGTGGAAGGGGCACTTATGCAGGGGCTGAGCTACCACTCAGTGGACCCTTGGGCTGCTGTGCACTGCAGGCAGAGTGCCTTCTGAACAGCCAGGGCACCTTCTTACCTGCACCGTGCTCACTGGGCAAGAGCCTTCGCACATGCTAAGCTGCCACCACTTGGTGTAGAGCATTCCCTTCGGTGGGGCCGCTGCAGCACAGTGTGCTCTCCCACAGGCAGGGCGATCACTTCAAAAGCAGTCATGTGGGCTGGCCTGCACCTGCCTCCTCTACGGTTGTGCCAACCACTGTGTGAGGATCCACGACTTGGCTCACTGCCACTGGTGAGGGGGAGTGATAACCTCATCTATTTCCATTGCCTCCCAGGGCTCCAGTCCACCCACCTTCAGATGCATGGCTGTGTGGATCTCTGAGACATCCTGTTGCTTTGTGCAGGAAATTCTCTGCTGGTTAATGAATGTCTATTTAGTTATACTTAGAGGGGAGAGACAAATGGAATAACTCACTCCTCCGTGATGCTGACATCACCAAGATGATCCAGATTTCTGCAGAATATATCATGAAAAATGGATGAATTTTGTGGTTTATGAATTGTATCTCTATAATAAAGATTATAAAGATATAACTATAAATATATTTATATGTAGCCTTTTAAATACTTTCAAGTTTGTTAACTCTACAGGTGGATGTATACCTTCAAGTTAATAAATACTAGTATAAGGATGCCTCCATGAGACAATCACAGATAGTTTGCTTATTATATTAACATCAAAACTGCTCTCAATGTAATACTGAAAAGAAATATTTGCAAAGTAAAGATATCCATGGTCCTCCTACTTGATTCCACATAGTAATGCAGAGCTAGATTGTTTGATTATTTTCTAAATCATGACTGCTGTGATTATTCAGAGGAAAAAAGTCCCCTTCACTCAGATTCCTTATACTCCTTTCTTTTCCTTCCTTCTCTTCTCATCTTTTATGACTCTGTGCTGGTCATGTTATATTTGGAATATCAAACTTAGGGCATAGAATCTGAAGTTCACTCAAGGACAGTAAGGAAACTTAGAATCGTATTATGTGAGGAACCCTTGAAAGAGTTCAGAATTTGTTTAGCCTAAAGTAAAAAAGGAATGTGGAATATATTGATGGAAATGGAAAGTATTATAACCAAGATCTTCTCCTCTAACTCCTATGCAGTGGTGCAAAGTTTCTGATCAGGGAGAGAGACAGGCTTTAAAGACAGAAGGTCATGCAGCTCTGTCTGAGGTGGTTGATTTCATTTGGAACACAGCATGGAGAATTCCATAACTAAGGACATTGTCAAAAAACATGGATTTCTCAGTACAGAGCAGTTAATAGAGTGTTGGAATTTCCATCATAATGGTAGCTACAAGCAAAACAGCAGAGAAGCCAGAAATTTGTCAGAGAGAACTAGCCAAGAAGAACACTCCTGAGATTACAGTCAACCTTGAAAGCATCTCCCAAGCCACACATAGTTCCAATGAAGAGTGAAGGTTGATGAGAACAGAGATATAAGCACAGCCTTTGAACAAACACTGCCTGAAAATTAGGCTGCTCTTATCTAGGAGAAATTCCTAGGAATTCAGCATTTTAAAAAAATTACACACATCTTTAGAAGTGTGAAAGATTGTGTGCACGTTTAATTCCAACCATGCCCCCATTCCTTATTAAACAATGTCCTTAATTTCACAAATTAAATTGTAATTCTCCAACCTACAAAATTAAATTTTGTGTCTAATTTCAGAAAGATTACATCTTAACTACAATAAGCAAGATATTATATAAGAGCTGCCATAGGATTATTCCAGTTCTCAGACTATAGCTTGAAATAAACATTTAAAGATCTGAACTTGTTATTCCTTTCTGTAAGCATTCAGACAAATCCATCACACATCACACTCCTTATAAGCATCATTAGTAACAAAATGGTCAAGTACAATAGTTGCTTGCTTCAGTTGCTAGTTTAGTATAACCAACACAATTAATTATTCATGATGCCACTGCTTGCTGGTAATGGAATTCCTCGCATCCCATTTCATATCGGCAAGGAGTTCAGCACTGTGTTCATTCCCAAGCACAAGACAAAGCCAGTTCCAAAACCTCATATTTAAGGATCTGTTTCCTGGGAGAAATTGTGTTACAAATTTCTGAATTAGGAGACAGAAACTGTACTTTTTATTTTAATAAAATAATATTATTTAGAGATGGTTAACTCTAACAACTGGAATCTGAAGAACTAAAGAACTGTGAAGAACTGAAAATGATAAACTTTTAAAAACATTAACGGATCATTAAAAAAGCAACTGAAAAAACAAAGTACCAGGTCTGGGGCTGGAGGTATAAGGGGAAGAGTTTGACATTATTAAAACTAATAGAAGCTTAGAGAAGGAGCCCATGGGCTTGAAATTCAGACCTTTGAAAAGAAGGCAGTCATTGATGCTAGTATTTTTGAGAAGAAGCATAACTTCTCTAAATCAGTTTATGTAAAATACTACCTCATTCTCATAATATGTTAAGGATAAAATGCATAATTTTTGCAAAATGCTTAGCAGTGTCTTACACATAATCAACACATACTATAAAAGCTTGCAAAGGCTATCCATTATCATCAGGATAAAATTCAAAATGTGATGTTTTCCAAGATCTAAGACCTTGCATAATATGGTTTCTGTCTGCCAGCCACATCTCATACCACCATCCTTCTCATTTTCTGTTTCCCCAGGCCATGAATGAAAAAAAAAATCCAAATGATATCATTCTAGAAATATATATTATATTCCCAGGGAACAGATTTATTTATTATTTACTGTTCTTTTATTTATTTATTGTAGGCAATGGTTTCTTTAAATGACACCAAAACCACAATCAAAAAAAGAAAAAATAGATAAATTGTATTTCATCAAAACCAAAATCTTTTGTATGTCAAAGGAAACAAGCAAGAAAGTGAAAATAAAACCTACGGAAAAGAGAAAATATCTGTAAATCATATATCTAATAAAGGTCTTATAGTGGGTTGACCGGTGGCCTCAA